TTGTAAGAACACGCATAAAATTTCATGATACCGAAACGTCATCAGCGATAGAAAGGAAAGGGCATGGATTATCAAATTGAGGAGAGCTAAATTAATAAAATGCAGGTGATTAGCATTAAAAGGAAAAAGCCCTGAATTTTGATCAATTCCTGAGGGATGCGCCATGCATTCGACATCATCGAACATAGAGATTGAAGGCATAATTGTTCTAGACAACGGCTTATCGATTTCAATGTTTTATTATCACAAAAAAGCCTGGGATAGGTTTCGTGAGCCTAGGGTGCGGGTTCACATCTATGATGGGACATCTATAACCTCTGCTACATACACACTCTCCATGACGAGGTGGCTGAAAATATAGTGAAGAAGGCAGCACTTTTCTTTGCTTGACTAAAGAATGGTAATTCCACTAAACGCCGGAGTTGAAAAGAACACATCCGCTGAAACATTCGTCATCGATTCGCTCATTGTATTAATCGCATTTGCATGTATTTGTCGTCAAACTTCTTTCAAAAATGATTTTACTTTTGTCTCTAGTTCTTTACGAGGCCTCTTGACGTACCCAAAAATATCCGCCTAAGCTCATTCAGAACTTCAACAGCAGTAATCGTTGTTGATTAGTGTTTTGCAGCACTTCTTTGTTCGTTTTGTTCATGTAATTCGCTCTTTGCAATTAACATTATTGAATAAGCACTGATTGTCATCGCTTTATTATCGCTGATTCATTCCAATAATGTCAAAGGTTTTTCATACCAAGAATAATGACTGTCATACGAACACTCTGAGCACCACCTTTCTACCCTAAAAAATTTCCAAAACCAGTTGATCACCATAAACTTCCTCCACCTTTCCTCTCCATGATAGCTGTTTTTATCCGCAAAGATATTCATCAGATTTGAATAGATTCAATAACGTTTTCATCTTCTCGGCTCAGTTTTTATAGTTATATGAAATCGTGTAAATGCGTCTTTGAGTGTATCTGATGAGAAATGTTGCATAGTATATTTGTTAGGAAGTATCCCGATAATTCTGTAATATACTTTGGCGAACGGTAGCAAAGCATTGCCAACATTATCCAGAAGATCTGGAAAACTTCAAAGTTCAAAGAGGAGCCCTGTCCTTCAATTTTATGTTTACGGTCCTCAGCACGTCGCCAATTCCGAAGAGGAAATTCAAGATATGGAAAAATTTGGAATTCAAAACATTTTTGCTACAAATCGTGCCCTTCCCACTTCGCCAGCTCATTTTGAGCAAACTCTGCTGATGGACGTGAACGGCTGCTGACTTTCCACTGAGATCTTATGTTTTGATAAACATGTTATAGGGTATATGACCAATTATTTATTCACATTGCTCTGTTTCGAGTTTTGTGTTGGTCCCGGCACCTCTTTTGATGAATCGGCTGTCGTCACAATTGTTCACCATAAGAAGCAGCACGGAGTTTGTGGATTAAGGGAACTTTTCTCGGACAAATTTCCAACGGGGATTTGTCCCAGAGGAGTGGAAGGCTCATGGTAGCGTCAAACCAAATATCATAACTGTTTCCACGTCATGTCTTCTCTACACTTCCAGCAACGCTGCTTATTATCACAAGTTCATCGAATCGCCATATCAGCTCCACATTAGTACACTTGAGCTGGAACGTCCTTAATTAGAAAGAGCGAATGATAACCTTATTGTCTTCCCTAAACATTCTGATGAATGATGCCGATTCACGGTCAACGTTGATTCAGAACAAAAACACTATTGATTCTGAACATTAAACACTTTCCACCTACGTTGCCACGTTGCCATTCCGATGTTCTCTCGTTTCTTATCGCCTTCATCTTTTCACAAAGAGGTGCCTTATAGCTACATGGTCAAAATTATAAACCAAAAGTATTTGTCTAACCTATTTATGTCTAGATAGGATTCTATATCGTCTCTGAAGAAATTCCGAACCAGCTAGATAAACCTATAAGCTTCAAGTGCGCGTGGCCATGAGATTTTTGTGTGAGGAACGCGGTAAACTAATTAAGAATTTATGAGGTAGACATTTTGAACCCCAATTTTGACTCGCTGGTGCTTTTCCGTAATGTCATTTCAATCCACTATTGTTGTCATTAGGTCTTCTCATAAGATCTGGCATTAGAGCAATCAACACCCATATTTGCTAATCGAAGTAATTGATATTGCTTAACAACACTGTGAGCATATGTGGCGCAGTGGTTAGAGGTGCTCTACGTCGCACACGTGATCAATGGTTCGATCTCGCGCTCACGGTTCACCAAACCCATCCATTTCTCCGGGGTAGGTAAATTTGTACGAGACTGGGTCTCAGACTTGTCTAGGAGGATAAACAGCACTGACTTGTTCAGCGGGAGGCCACTGCGAGTCAATGTAATGGCCAGACATGCATTCAATCACCTCAAACGAAGTTAAAAATTGAAGACGAATGCATGGCGCATCCCACATGGATTGATCAACTCTTAGACTCTTATCCTTTATCCTCTCAACAACACAATTCAAAGTATGAGCCATCAGCTTGGACTCATATCAGCCATCTCTCAGGCAACAAATGAATACCGCGCTTACAGAACACCTCATCCATGGATTCAGAGAAACCTCTCAATCCTCGTCACAGCTGATTGACGTCTCGGAAGCTCTTTTTGCTCAATAAGTGCTTTAATGACCTGAGGAGCTAATACAGATGGCGACAAGTCAGGATTGAACGGCGCATGAAGCACCAACTCCCAGCCCAGTTCGGTTCAACCTCCTTTTTGTCTTGGAGACATGCAGGCTTGCTTTTTCTTAAAGTAGATAAGACTACGGCGACGTTCGTTCCACTTGTACTTCTTGCCTACTGTCTTCAATGTTCTGCTGATTGTCACACGACCACAGTGAAATCGCCAGGGAAATCCTCGATAGGCAAAGTCGGATCCTCTTCAACTGCTTCGATGTCGGCTTCTCGATAAACTTCGCGCAGACGTCCGAAACGCAGCTAGTCCTTCAAATTGATGTTGTCGGCGCGAGAATCAGAAAGAATCAAAACGCTGTTCGCTCGGACACAAATCCTTGAGCCTTTGCACGGTCGATGTTCTCGACGGTGGTCTGTGTATCGCGTCCCAGTTCGTACTCGTAAAGAGCAAATTGAGATAAAAGCATCGTTGAGCGGCCATGATGTCGTAAGTATGAGTAAATTTGGTATCAAATGAAAGCTCAGAAATTTCTGCACGAAGCGACAATGACTTGTTGCCTGAGAGATACCAGAAATCTGTTCGGGCTGATGGCGCCTACTTTAAATAATGTTGTTAAGCAGTTTTAATTACTTCTAGTTAATAAATTTGATGTTTAATGCTCTAGTACCAAAATCTAAGCCTAAGTTCAACTTTAATAAAAACAACTGCAAAGAAGTGACTGCTTATCGAGTTTCCGCACCATAGTGTAAACCCCGTTTACAACTGCTTGCTGATTGCTCCGATACCTTTATGACAGAAAGAGTGATAGAAGAGCAGAAGCTTTGGTAGTGCAATAGTACGCACATCCCCTTAGAAGAGTGAGATGCGGGTTCGACTTCCGTCCGACGTTCAACGATCTGCACATCCCTGAACATTCTTGGATATATAGTTATGACTTCATAGTAGTGCTATGATAGCAGTAAAATCAGGAATTCATGTGGATTCCTGCCGTGAACCACTTTTCTTCTCTCAACCTCTGGTTAGCAAAGCTCTAAAGGATAAAGCTCTCGGCCTTAATTAATCCCTGAGGGATGCGCCATGCATTCGTCTTCAATTTTTTACTTCATTTGAGGTGATTGAATGCATATTTGGTCTTTACAATGACTCGCGGTGGCTTCCCGCTTTATCGAGTCAGTGCTGCTCATCCTCCCAGACAAGTCTGAGACCAGTCTAGTACCAACTTACCAACCCCGGAGGGATGGATGGCCTGGTGAGCCGTGAACGCGAGACCGAACTATTGACCTTGAGTGCGACGCAGAGCACATCAAACCACTGCGCCACATGCGCTCACATTGAATTAGCATGTGAGAATAAATACGCCTACGGCCATACTCAACTACCTCCTACAACTTATCAGTCCAGAAATGGCCAATAACTCTTCACTACTCACAACGCTGTTTCTTCTATGTTATCCATGATTAGAGGCGCGTGTGGCGCAGTGGTTAGAGATGTCGTGCCACCTCACGTGGCCCGTAGTTCGATCCCGCGCCCAACACAAGGCTCAGCAAACCTTCCATCTATCCAGGGTTGGTGGATTGGTAGCAGACTTGTCTGGGAGGACGAGTCGCCTGGGAAAGGCCGGATATGCATTCATTCGCCTCAAGCGATGCTACGAATCGAACCAAATGCATAGCACGTCCTTCAGAGTTCACTGACCAACATCGAGAGGCTTTTCTTCATGTGATCTACCATTTCCAAGAATTAGTGGATTCACACCCACGCCACAGATCACCGAAGCCATTTTCGTCGCACAATATCGCGCTCCAATGCCAAGGCGTTCAGCGCGCCAATTACATAAATTCAAATTTTGTTTACGCTTCTGTTCTGCTAACGTCGGGGATTTTTCTTTGTAATTGTCGAAAATATCCTTAGATATTCCATATTAAGAAGCCTCACGCTGTGCAAGTCTTTCAGCACTAAGGAGCGCTTTGATCTACAATCGATTTTTAGGTTCTTATTGATTTTTCCTCCCATTTTTTCGTTCTTTTTGTTAATTTTTTCGCTTTTCTTCAATTTTTCTTTGTTTTTTTTTATTGACTGGCCACCTTTTATTTGGTGCCTCGGATGTGTGAGACCGTATGGTAGTATAGTGTTAGAAAATCGCATTAAAAATTCTCGTTTTTTTTAAATGAAGATCTCTCGAGATCGCTTTTGTTTTTGCCTTTTTTTGAGCTGATATTGTTTCAATGCTTCTTAGTCCTTATCTAAAATAATGACTAAATGACTGAGTTGGTAGAAGGATGAGATATTGAGATGTTGAAGAATGAGTGGCGGTGCAATTGTACCTCGGTGGTGTAGTGGTAGTAGCACGCGTCTCCGGCATGGATGAAACGCGAGTTCGATTCCCGTCTGAGGCCGTATTTTTGCTCATCGATCAGTTCTCTTAGGTATATATGTGCCATCATAACACAGCGGAAAAAAGCGGTAAAATAGCAGAATTTAGGAATAGTACATCTGTTGGTTAAGATGAAACCACAGGCACTATCGATAAAAACGTCTATTCGGCTGTTAAGATCTTCTCTCCCTCTCAGAGATTTTCATTCTTCTTCGGCAGTTGTGGTAATCCTCCTGGTCATTCTAGTAGCTCTTCAGATGATCACAAGACGTCGACTGTCGACCAGTAATGACTCGGCGTCGTCGTCAGTACAGCCATCATGCCCTCCGCCTCCAAAACCTCCACGAGGATGTCTACGAAGTGAGCCGGTCAGGATTGAACCTCTTAGGATCTCTATGCCTAATGACGAGAATCACCATCGGCCAGAAATGGCCTCACCAGGTAATTCTGCTCTGCATTGTACAGATTCTCACTGTGGTACTTTTCTGTCATTCGAGCCCTTTTACAACCTTTTGAGAGTTCTTTTCTGTTATGAAAGGACACATGAAAAACCAATTTCATTCTCTGTATAGGAAATTTTCATAGGAGCATTAGTAACCATTCGAAAGCTGAGACCTGAGGCTACAGCCCCACGTCGCCGGTTTTCGAAAAAGACTCTTGTTGACACTGCTACAGGAGGAGATTTCTTGGCTTCAGACACGCATATTTCTCGCCGTACAGATTTCTTTCTTTGGACTATTAGTAATCATTCGATAGCATAATCGAGTTTGATTCCAACGCTGTGATCATATCCTGAAAAGACCGTCTCTCCGAAATGCAGTAGGTAAAATAAATCGAATTCCCTTCTGCGATCAATGGCCTCCATGGCCAACTCACATGCGAGTTCATGAACCCGTAGAGAAGTATCGCGTCAGCAGTTCACGTGGCTGCCTCACATAGGCACGTGAACTGGCCAAAGGCCCCCTTGATCTCATATGCGGATTAAACTTATTTCACCTGCTGCGTTGCAGAGAAGCCTTCTTCTAGGGTATAAGCATAGCAATGAAGAATAGCAATGAAGAATGAGTGGTCGGACAAATGTGCCCCGGTGGTGTAGTGGTTAGAGCGTCCCTGGATAAGATGAAACGAGGGTTCAATTCCCGCCTGAGGCCGCGTTTTTGCTCATCACTCAATTCTGTTACATATTATGCACAGCGTTGGAATGACGAACTATTACGCTATCGATTGAATACTAATAGTCCAAAGAAAGCGCTCTATCCGGTGAGAAATATGCTTGTTTGAAGCCAAGAAATCTCCTCTGGTAGCAACGTCAAACGAGTTGTTTTTCAAAAACCGGCGTCACAGGACTATAGTCTCAAGTCTCAGCTTTCGAACAGTTACTAACTCTCTTGTAAAAACTCCCGTTTCAGCGAATGAGATCCGCTTTTCATTTGTCCTCTCATAATTGAATTGTACCCTTTTAAGGACGACGCATTTTCTCATTACTTTCAGAGTATTAGTAAATACTTGATAGCATATTTCTCTTCACTAGTAGTTCTGACCTTCTTCTGGAAAGGCTTTTCTAGTACGCTGTATTAGTAAAAATAAGACTTATGTTTTACCCTCGGGCATTTTCGCTGGACAAGAATTTTCATTAGAATGTTAGTGATCTTTAGAAAGCTCAAATCTCCGGCTACTGCGTATACGGCCGCTTCTTGGAAAACCCTTTTAATAACGCTGTAACAAGAAAGAGAAATTTCTGATCCACGCCCTCATTTCTCCGCAGGAAAGGACTGATTTCTGAGTTATGAACAACGGTTCGATAGTGTAATTTTCTGTGATTTCAACGCTGTACTTATTTCTTGGAAATACCGTTTCCTGGGAATTTTCCAATTGAAAACGAGCTGCACCCTACATGTCTAACCCTTATCGATCGGTCGCCTCGCCCCTTGTTCTTAGCGCAGTAAGTTGGCCACTAAACAGGGTTGCCAATTATGTGAAGCTGAATCATATTGTCCGTGCTACACTGCAGTGGAATGGTCTTTTACAGAAATTATGCGCAGCGATGGAATCACTGAAATTTACGCTATCGGAAGTCTGAATAAAGAGCTCTTTCCGACGAGAAGTAAAGCACGAATCTTTTCTTTTTACAGCGTTATCAAAAGAGCCTTCCCATAAAGCAAATACACTTTTGAGTTCTTCGAGATTTGTGCTAGCGAAAGTACTACCACTCTAAAAGAGTTTCGTCCAACGAAATATAAGCGAGACAAGGAAAAAACACGTGGTTGTGTGGGACATGATTTTATTTTACATTTCAGAGCGTCGGTAAAGGGTATTTCGAGAAACCGGCCAGGTAGGAATGTAGCCAGAGATTAAAGCTTTCGAATGGTCGCTTATACTGCTTTGAAAAAATTTTTGTCCAGCGAGAAGGATCGGTTTTTCATTTGTCGCCGTCTAACAAATAAGTACCATACACTCGCTTCAAGATCGAATTATTTGTCCCGAGAGCAAAGCGATTGTTGATGGGACATTAGTATCGTTTGGGTTCAAGTACTTCCTTGGCATGCAGCGATGATCCTGAAGCATCAACAGTCGTTTTTGTTCTTGGGACAATTCCATCTTGAAACAAATGTATCAGTATTCTCTGTCAAAATTACCGCAAGAGGCTGCTCTGAATGATAGTAAGAACAAAAACTTAATTCCGTTAGAAACAATTAATAAAAGAAAATGTCCGTAAAATTTCTTGCCCCCACTATCTTCTCCATTTGTATGGAAAGCTAGCGTGTTTGACTTCAGGTCTCTCATCGCGTGCATTCTCAACAACAAAAAAGTATCAGAAAATGAAGGATTACTTTCGGCATGTGGTCCAGAAAAGGTTAGTTTAGTGTTAGTCAATACTAGTATCAGTCGAGAGGACTCATTAACTGGTTATTCTTTTCCACTTTTCCACTTTTCCACTTTTCTTTTTCATTTCAGAGAAGATTGCATGATTTCCGGATCTGATGCAGTCAGTGTTTTGGAAGAATATCTACAAGCGAATAGTGAACAGTTCTCCTCATCCGCTATCAATAGGGAAAACGCTCTGAAGGTCTGTCAAGGTTTCCATTCTTTCTTTCAGCAATGGTGTATTCATGATTTTCAGGGTAGGTCTCGAAGAATCAATAACGGCATAATGTAGTATACGTATGTTTCATAACTTTCATTTCGAGTGTTTTTTAAGATCACGCTCAACCTTCAATGTGCCTGATGATTTTTTTGAGCCATGCATATGGTCTGTTATAGGACAATTTAGAGAGCCCTGTTTCGGCCTTGACAGCTTCATCAGTCAGGCAGTATTTTTCGTATTAGCCAATCCTCTCGGGGGAATCCAATTCCTGTAGAGAGTTGGCGACTGACGAACATTCTACACGTGTCATCAAGTGAAATTATCAGTGAATGGCAGTGTTTTACACGCAGTTGCTCTTGGCTGGTATAGTTAATTATATAACACCTTTCGCTTCGAGTGATTCAACGATGCCAACCAATAGCAATCGAGGGTAATACTGCCATTCACTCAAATTTTCACTTAATGGCACGTGTAAAATGTTCGTCAGTCGCCAACTCTCTACGGGGGTTGGGTCCTCCGAGAGGATTGGCTAAAGACGAAGGGTACTATCCGACTTAAGAGGCTGTCCCTTTGTTTTTTTTCAAAGTAATGCTAGAATACTATTCCTAGGGATAAGGGATGGAGCTGAAGACGCATAAATATAGTTCGTGAATATCATTTTGTAGATAAATTCTCAGGCGAACTATCAGTAAACCTCCGCGTAGACGGAGTGAAAGGAGCAATAGCCGCATGGGATAGTGATGCACGGAGCGAGCATGAACTCTCAACACTTTCCAACAATGAATCGATTGAATAATTTTGTTTTTTCCTCCAATAGACAGATGCAAGATTGTTAAGTGTAGTAGTTGTTGGATACAAGATTGTAGCACGTAATACAATGGCTGACGTTTCGGTGGTTTTGTCATCTTCAGAGCCTGGAAAGGTCAGAGATTGAACTGTAATCTACTCAGTCAAGTACCCCGATAACCCCAGCAAAACGATGTAATGAAGTTTCTTGGGTGGCATTGTGAACAGCTCATTTTTTGAGCTCTCACCGATGTTTCTAAATATATCAGTTATTTATAGGAGGCAACACACTAGAGTCTTGCTGTCTTGGGTAGGAATGTATCTGGCTGAGGTCAGAGAAGTCAGGAGTCTAGACAAAACTCCAACCATGCCAAAAAGACCCGACTTCTTTGGAGAACCAGACACAATCTTACCCGATGCAAGGCTCTGAGCAGCTTGTCTCTATTGAGTAGTTGGAAGACTTGAAAAACAATTGAACAGTAATTATTTAGAAGGAAACTTTTTGCGGTTTTTTCCTAACACCCGCCTCAGTTCAAGCGTTCGGGTAGACCGTATTTTTTGATTTTTTCTTTCAAGTTTGAAAAGTTATAGTACTAATATTCAACTCATTTGGTTGCAATGATCACTCGCTTAAGAATTTTGTCTACTTGCCGAACACGTCAAATCTAGGTCGGGCAGATCTCTTCTCAATCTGGAGGACAGGCGAGAGAACGTTTGCCGATTGATTGGCGAAAAATGTGTGGAAGATCAACGACTCACGAGTATGACTAACCACTCGGCCACCGCTCCACCTCCCCGCGCCGCATTAACATTGTGCCATATTAATCTATCCAATATCTTGTTTCAGCAACCTTTCTTTTCAAAAAAAAAAATGTTGATAAAATCAACTAGACAATCAATGCTGACGGTAATAGATAGTCGGTCCTGAGAATTGTGTATATACGCATATATACACATACACATGTATGCATATACGTATAAAGGATGAAGGATAAAGCTTTTGGCGTTGATCAATACCTGACGGATGCGCCATGCATTCGACTTCAATTGTTAACTTCGTCTGAGGTGATTGAATGCATATCTGGCCTTTACAATGACTCGCGGTGGCCTCCCGCTGAACCGAGTCAGTGCTGCTTATCCTACCAGACAAG